CTCGCGCCTGTAATCCCAGCACTTTGGGAGACCGTGGTGGGTGGATCACCTGAGGATAGGAATTTGAGACTAGCCTGGCCAACGTGATGAAACCCCGTCTCTACTAAAAACACAAAAATTAGCTGGGCGTAGTGGTGCATGCCTATAATCCCAGCTACTTGGAGGCTGAGGCAGGAGAATCGCTTGAGCTTGGGAGGCGGAGGTTGCAGTGAGCCAAGGTCACCACACTTCACTCCATCCTGGGCGACAAAGCGAGACTCTGTATTAAAAAATATATATATGTGTGTGTGTATATATATATATTTATATATTATGTATTTTATTATACATTAAATATATAATTATAGAATATATTATATATTTTATATATAATATTGTTTAATATATATTTTATGTATTTTTATTATATATAATATGTTATATGTATATGTATATGAATGATGTACTAACCTCAGATGGAGCTAAAAAATCAAATTAGGCAATCTCTATGACAGGTTTCTGGTTTTTCATTTATCAACCAGCCATAAGAAAGTGCTGTCATACGGGGCATCATTAGGTGTTCGGGCACTGTGAGTGCCTACCACCCAAAATAGAGCCTTTCAGTTATTATGTTAAACAGAATAATAGCAAATCTCTTTGAAACGCTGGAGAGAAGGGGCTCCCCCTGCTGTCATCACAAAAATGCATTGTTTCAGGCCAGAGTCTTGTACCTAGAGCACCCACTGGGCTTCAATCACAGTACCAGAAGATCCCGAAGTTATCATCACCGTGGAGGATGTATAGTTTTATTGGAACTCAAATTAAAATACATACCACAAAGAAAGGAGATGCATATTTTTCTTCAGACACTCTGTGCTCAGATTCATTTACTGACGGCTCAGCCTGCCTGTGAACCACCAAAGTGGTCTACCTCATCCCGTTTATGACTTTAAAAGCAAGGATAGTATTTGTGTGGCCGATAGCAGCTGGTGGTCAGTGGGTTGAAAATATGTTTGAACATATTTCATTTTTGTTAAGATTCATTTAAATAGTGAATCAATAAAAATGATGTATAATGGGAAGTAAGAGCATCTTCATTGAATTTTGACCTTGGTAAAAATGTTGTGTTTGTAAAAAAATCATTTCATTTTCTTGTAAATTGTATTTCTTTACACAGGAGCACTGGGTTCATGAGTAAGTCTTCAGAAATCATGAAGAGTTGGGTGTGTCAGCCACAAATCTGTAGCACTGGAAGGAACTCATTCAAGGTCTCAGTAACAAATGTTGGCTGAGCTGAGTCTCAAGCAATGACCAGACCAAGCCAGAGATCTTTCCTCTAGGCCATGTTTACTGAGGGGTTGAGGACATGGATGGAATGAGTCAGGCTGAGACTCTTTATGAACAAGATGAATTGTAAGCAGTTAAGAAGGAAAAGACGCTGGATGTGGTGGTTCACACCTGTAATCCTAGCACTTTGGGAGGCCAAGGTGGGAGGATCACTTGAGACTAGCCTGGGCAACATAGTGAGACACCATCTCTACAAAAACTTTAAAATAAATAAATAAGGAAAAAAGATGGCAGGTGCAAGAGTTGAGAGATTGGAGAGAAAAAATTCTGTGAAGGAACCTAACATCTGGTCAGAGCCATTCATTCATTCGTTCATTCGTTCACTGGCTTACTTATTCTTTCACTGCACGCATATATCTCATGGTAAAGAACATGGCCTCTGGGGTCAGCCTATTTAATCTTAACTTCCAGCTCCACCTCTTTCTAACCTTCAATATAAAGTTATGAAGAAACAGTATCTTCAGTTTGCTTCCGGAAACCACTTCCTTCCTTCTGCCACCTACTGGCTATTCTTTGACAGCTTCCTCCTCATCTCACTTGTTGGAGAGCCCCTAAGCCTAGTCCTCAGATGGTTTTGTTTTTCTTTCTGTCTACACTTACTCCCTAGCAATCTCATCCAGAATCATGGTTTAAAAATAACATTATATGCTGACCGTCAGATTTATATCTCTAACCTAGACTTCCGTCCCTGAGTACCAGCTACTACTCAGTTGTTCGCTTGAATATCTAATTGACGTCTCACATTTACATATCCGAAGTTGAACTTCTGATCTCCAGCCCACCCTCCCCACACCACCACACCACAATCTCCTTTCAGTCTTTCCCATTTTACAAAACGGCAGTTCCATCCTCTACTCATTTGAGCCACAGACCTTAGAATGGTCTTTGACTTGGATGTTTTCTCAGCCACTCTCCCTCCAATCTATCAGTAAATCCTCTTGGTTCTACCTTCAAAATATATTCAGAATCTGACCACATCTCACTGCCTACTAGAAGCCATTATTGTCTCTTGCCCAGGGTGCTGCCGAGTCTTCCAGACTGTTCTTCCAGTTTCTGCCCTTGTCCTCTGCAATTTATTCTCAGTTCAGTGGCCAAAATAAACCTTAAAAATATTCATCTTGTGTCTCCTTTGCTCAAATCCTTTTGGTGAATTTCTGTCTCCTTCGGAGTCAGATCCAAAGTCTTTACAATGGCCATCAAGGCCATGCTACCTTCCAGACGTGGCTCCTGTCCTTGTTCGTTCCATTCCATGTCAGCCACGCCGGCTTACTGGTACTCCTTGGCCTTGCTGAGCAGGCTCCCACCTCGTGGCCTTTGCATTTGCTCTTCGCTGCTTGGAATGCTTTTCCCGCAGATGTATGCATAGCCCGTTTCCTCATTTTCCTCAGGTCTCTATGCCAGTGTCCCCCGATTAGTGATCTTCCCTGATCAGCCCCTGATCTTCCCGCACCAGCCTCTGTTAGTGTCTTCTTGCTCCTGTAACAACGTCCCACAAACTTAGTGGATTAAAAGCGCACCGAATTACTACATTCCAGTTCTGGATGTCATGATCTAAAATTAAGATGTCAGCAGGGCTGGTTTCCTCGGGAGGCTTCAGGGGAGATGCCACTTCCTTACCCTTTCGGCTTCTAGAGGCCACCTGCATTCTGGACTTGTGGTCCCTTCCCTGCGTCACTCCAGCCTCCTGCCTCCATCATCATTTCTCTTCCTGCCTCCTTATGAGGAGCCTTATAATTATACGGGGCCCATCTAAGCAGCTCTAGGATATCTCCTCATCTCAAAATCGTTAATTTAATCACATCTGCAAAATCCCTTTTACCATGTAACTTCACATATTCACAGGTTCGGAAGATTAGGACAGAGACATCTTGGGGGGGCATTATTTAACTACCATAATATATTTTATGCACTATATAAAATATCCATCCTAAGCTACTCCACGTTCTATAGTCTCTGTTCCTCTTTTATTTTCTTCCTAGTTCTTTACCTCATCAGATGTTATATATTATTTGCTAATTTATAAGTTTTTTTCTCCCCAGACCCTAGGCCCTGTGTACGGTAGAGCAGGGATCCCCAACCCTTAGGCTGCAGACCCATATGGGTCCATGGCCTGTTAGGAACCAGGCCATGCAGCAGGAGGTGAGCGGCAGGTGAGCAAGCATTACCTCCTGAGCTCTGCCTCCTGTCAGATCAGCCACAGCTTTAGATTCTTATAGACGCGTGAACCCTGTTGTGAACTGCACATGCAAAGCATCTAGGCTGCACACTTCTTATGAGAATCTAATGCCTGATGATCTGAGGTGGAACACTTTCATCCCCAAACCATCAACCCCTTCTCTATCAGGTCCATGGAAAAATTGTCTTCCATGAAACCAGTCCCTGGTGCCAAAAAGGTTGGGGATTGCTGCCATAGAATGTAAACTCTGTGAGGAGGGGCAAAGTGACCCCCACTGATAGGGCATGGCTCTCTATCCCCACCCAAATCTCATATTGAATTGTAATTCCCAGTGTCAGAGGTGGGGCCTGGTGGGAGGTGACTGGATCATGGGCCATGTTTTCTAATGGTTTAACACCATCCCCTTTGCTGTTCTCGTGACAGAGTTCTCACAAGATCTGGTTGTTTGAAAGTGTGTAGCACCTCCCCCTTGTCTCTCTCGTTCTTCTGCTCCCGATACGTAAGCTTCCTCTTTGCCTCCTGCCATGATTTTAAGTTTCTTGAGGCTTCCCCAGCCGTGCTTCCTGTACAGCCTGAAGAACTGTGAGCCAATTAAACCTCTTTTGTTTATAAATTACCCAGTCTCAGGTGGTTCTTTATAGCAATGAGAGAACAGACTAGTACACTCACTGTCATGATCATGTGTGCTGTAAATATTCGTTAAAGGAATAAACTTAGTTTCTAATCTCAACAAGGGAAATATGGTGAAAAGTAATAGAAAATAAGAAAAGAACCATAACAATGTATTTATAAGATACAATGGAAACCCAATCAGTCTACCTGGGGAGAGAATGCGGAGGAAGCAGCCATGAGGTGGGGCTGGCCAGGAGGGAGGGAGGAAGAGCCGAGCTCAGCGGAATAAGAGGGGCTGTGGGATGTTGAGCAAGCATAGGGATCCTACAAATGCTGTTCAGCCAGGACAGAGGGTCCACACAGAGAGACTTGGATCAGAAAAACCAGAAAGAAGCAGTAAGAGGGCGGATGGTAGCTAACTACAGCAGAGTCCCAATCAGAAGGGTGATGTGTCTTGAGGTGCAGAGTTTAGGGAGATTTAGGTAAGATAAAGCTGGAGGAAGTAGGCAGGAAGCCGTTCTCACTGTGGCGTAGGATGGTGACTGCTTTGCTCAGGCTCAGCCTGCAGCAGTGGTGGGACTGGGTTCTGATTGCTGGGTCACAGGTGGGTGCTGCCGCCATCTGATCAGTCACTCTGGTCTTCCACCTTCTCCTGGCATGGGAGGAGACAGAGGCAGGGCAGTGGGGGAAGGGCAGGACTCAACAGCTCCTTGGGTGGTCTTAGGAGCATGTTAGCAGCAGTTCTTTTTTTTTTTTTCTGAAAGATTCTGCTAAATGGACATAGAACAGTGTCATGGTTAGAGGCATGACTGCCTTCAAATCCCAGCTCCACCATAGCTTAGCTGTGTGTCTTTGGAAATACGTTTAGTTCTTTAAGAGATCGTCAGGAAGATAGGAGCAATCAGGGTGATGTGAGTCCTGATTATGCAGCAGACATTAATCGTATCATGCGACTCCAATCATGTTGTCCTAATACTGCCCTCCAAACAGAGGTAAGGGTTATCCTACCTGACAATGGATAAGTTCTTTGATGTCTCTAAACTTCAGTCTGCTCCTCTGTAGGATGGGAATAATAATGGCACCAATTTCTTAGATTCATTGTGAGGGTTAAATGACGCAATGTGCCAAGTCTCCTTGGGTCTGTGATATAATATATGTGGGGTCTTACTATTTATCCAAAAGCTGGACACATCAGAGTTGTGGAAATGTGACTTAATCTCCCCTGCTCTTCCCATCACACAGGCTTTGTACTCAGGTCTTCTGTGGATAGAATTCCTCTCATAGTATTTTTTTTTCCAGATGGAGTCTTGCTCTGTCGTCCAGGCTGGAGTGCTGTGGCATGATCTCGGCTCACTGCAGCCTCTGCCTCCTGGGTTTAAGCGATTCTCCAGCCTCAGCCTCCCGAGTAGCTGGGATCATAGGCACAAGCCACCTCACCTGACAAATTTTTGTATTTGTAGAGATGCGGTTTCACCATATTGCCCAGGCTGGTCTCCAACACTTGAGCTCAAAGCATTCCACCTGCCTCTGCCTCCCAAAGCGTTGGGATTACAGGTGTGAGCCACAGCCCCTGGCCAGTCTTCTTTCAATGCTTATTTAATACCCTCAAGCTTCAGAGACCCCCACTTGGTGGAATCCATCCCTGCCACTTCCAGTGGTAATGGATTTCTGGTCCTCTGTCCTTCTCATGCCTGCAGACTCTGCTGTGAGTCTTCAGTTGCAAGCCTGCATCTGCTTTGTCCAGGCTCCTACGAGCCCACTCTGGGGAGCTCTGGTCCCTTTTCGGCTCTGGGGAAGAGCACCAAGAAAGCGTGTCATGTTGTAGGAGCCAGAGAGGTTGGTTTGGAAAATTTTAAGGCTGATTCAGTTTTGGTTCTTTCTCTCCCTAGCAGCAAGGGCTAAGGTCAGTTTTATGCTAAATTAACGAAATGTGTATATCACTCATCACGCCCTAGCTATGGAAAGAGCACTAATGCTTATAGTATAGAATTATGAGCATGAAAACGCTCTGTAGTCTCTTAAATAACATAAAAATGTTGACTTTTATTGTCTAACTTGGGATTTCCTACTTGAGCTTTGCTTTAGTGATGAAGTTGGGGACCTACTTTCCTTACATAACATTTTTACAAATATCAAGACCATGGATGAAGTCTTCTCTGACCTCCTGCAAAGCATGTATCCAGCACAGCTCTTCCAAGTCCTAGGCTTGTCCTGAGGACACCACCTTGTCTGTGAATTGGTTCTCATGGCTTTGGTGTAGTTATAAGTCACTGGATCACGTCTCTGCACTGGCTTGCAGAAATGCTTTGCTCAAATTTGCCATGAGGTGCACAGTGGGAGGCAGGAGGTCAAAGGCACCACAAGAGACCACAGCCTTCCTCCTAGCAAGACTAGGAAGACCTGCCAAGCTAGCTGCCCTTTACTTGAGTGCCCATAGGAAGGCCACCAGAGACAAAGTCTGAATACAGAAACAGAAAGAGGCTGGTTCCTTTGGGCGTATCTGACAAGAGATTGGAAATACCTCTGCTACTTACTAATTGGGGGCCTATCCAAATGAGTGTCTCATTTCAATGTGTGGTCAAGATTCAACGTAGGATTGTTAACATGGGAGCTATGGCCTACCTGCTTTGTCTTCCTTGAGCCATAATAAATGCATTTGTAAGACACCATGGGGGCATTGGGAAGATAGAGTCGCTATGCCAGGAGAGAGTTAGCGAGGGGGACTGGTTGCAGAGGAAGAGACACTGAAATGCCTTCGCTCTGGGCTCCCAGGTCCCACCAGGAAGGCTCACATTGTTCCAGTCCCCAGGATGACCCAACACGAAGTGGACGTTGGAGTAGCCTCTCCTAGTCCCAAGATCATCTTGTAGCACTGAGTTCCCATGTGGCTCCCTGAGTTTCCTTCCCTGCCAAGCCCCAGGGCCGTTGTCCTTAGGAAAGACTTCTAGGTGGCTCCAGGACCCTAGATCACAGGTCTCAGCTACTCCCTCCCTCTCCTGACCCAGGTTGGGCAAGTGTACGGGACACAACTGTGCATTGGCCCATGCCTAAGCTCTGTTTGGTTGTGCTGTCCCACAACCATATGTCCCTTGTAGGACTGCAGATCTCCCTGAAGCTGCAGTACAGTGAAGAGGACTCTGCTGCTTGCCTGGTTTTCTTCCCAGCATCTCTTAGGGGACGGCGTTCCGTCCCGGTTCTCTGTCACCATACCGTGCCTTCCTGTTGAGACCCTGCTGCCTCATCCTGGGCTCCATGATGCCAACCCCTTTCTGAACTGTGTCCGAGACTCTTGGAGCCTTAGGATGCTGCGTCTCGTCTCTGCCCATCACCTCCCAAATCAGATTTTGCCACCAAATCAGCTGAACCAGTGCCTGTCCCTTCCTAGTAACCAAGTTTGGTGCCACTGTATAAGTCAGGGGTCTCCAGAGCCTGACTAATAAACAGAACCGATAGGGTAGATAAAGAGAGAGACTGATTTTCAGGAATTGGCTGATGTGACTATGGAGGCTGGCAAGCCTAACATCTGCAGAGTAGGCCAGCATGCTGGGATTTCGCTGTGGAGCTCATGTTGTACTCTTCAGTCTGAAATCTGCTAGAAACTCAAGCAGGGCTTTTACGCTGTAAACTTGAGGCCCACTTCTTTCTTCTTTGGGAAACCTCAGTCTTTGTTTTAAAGGTCTTCAACTGATTGGATGAGGCCCATCTACATTATGGAGGGTAATTTGCTTTACTTGAAGTCTATTGATCTAAATATTACTCACATTTTAAAATACCTTCAAGGCAACATCTAGACTGGAGTTTGGCCAGCTGGTCACCGTAGCCTAGCCAAGTTGACACATAGCGTTAACCATCATGGCCACTTTCCAAGTTTTCTTTTCCTTCTCCCTTGGCCTCCCCAGACCATGATGCCTCTATCAGGTGTGATGCTTTCAAGGGCAAAATCACAGAAAATCTTACTCAAATAGGTTTAAACTATAAAGGGAACTTAATGGCTCTTGGAACTAAAAAAACTAGTCAGGTAGGCTCCAGGTCTGACTTGCTTAAGGTTTAAGCAGCTTCTCTCTCTGATTCTCGGGTCTGTATCTTCGCTGTGTTGATACTATCTTCACGCAGGCTTCCCTCCTGCTTATAAGCTGATGCACTTTCTCTTTCACACCCAAGAGGAAAGAGAGCAGAGCATTCTTTCCTTCTAGAACAAGTCCCAAGCTTCCTCTAATTAGCTTAGTCCTAACATCATCATTGTGGCCAAGGAAAAGCTCTGCTCTGATTGGCTTAGGTCTGCCCATGCCCTAACCAATCACAGGGCAAGGGGATGGGATTGCCATGACTGGCACTTAGTTAGGAGTTACTCCCTGTGATTGGGAATAGCATCAGTCCCACCACAATAAATGGTTGCTGCACAGTGGCTGAGGAATGGACCAGATGCTGGGAGATAACCTTAGTACTCCACATCAGCCTCCAAAGCAAGGCTGCTGCATTGTCTGACTCCAAGAGCCCATGCACCGCTGCAGACTGTGCACATGGTACCTGCTAGAGCTGAGGGGACCCAGCTGAGTCCCAGGCAGCAGCTCTGATCCCAAGAGAAAACAGCTGCCTGGAAAGAAGGGTGCTCCCTGCTGGGATATCAGGGCAGTATCAGTACAACATGGCAGAGTGAGGTTGTGGCTGGTGGACATGTGCTCACTTCAGATGTCCTTATCCCAGATCTGTTTGCCCCTCCCTTTGCCACTGAGGGAGTGCTCACCTCAACAGGACTGAATTCACAGCAGCTGGCTTTACAACTGTGGGATTTGGGATGTCACTGGAAGCCACCCAGAACTGAGGAGCATGATTCACGCTGCTCTGATCAGTGGCTTGGCAAGGACATAGAATGAAGGAGGAAGGTGGCTTAGAGACAAGTTGGGGCAGCCCAGGAAGAGGGGGTTGTCTTTGGGATTCTGATCTGTAGTTTGTTTTTGTTTAAGAAACCAACAACTGAGGTGGCAAGACTCACATCTTAACAAGCTGTAAAGGCCTCCTCCACCCTGTCCCCTGTCTATGCCTCTTCCTTGTTTGCCGTGCTGCCACTGCAGTCTCTGGCACAGGCACGTAGCACAGAAAGCCAACGGAGGGAGGGTGATGCAGCCTCTCCAAAGAGCACACCGGTTCCTTGTGCTCAGTGAGACGGGAGAGCATGGCCTGTTGTGGTCAGCCCCGGCGCTGCCACGTACACTAGGTGTTCCCATCGGTCTTTGAACAAGGGCCATTCACTGTCTGAGCAGAAACACGCCAGGTATCTGCGTACCACGTGGGAACTGAGAAAGACTATGAAAAAAAATCAGCAGAGGTTTTTGGGGCCTCAGCATCACTCTGGGTGAGTGAGACGGGCATTTGGGAACCCAACAATGCTGGGATGAAACAGGGACGCTGCTGCCTTGACAGGTCCGTAATTCTAAATTGTGCAAGGGGGAAAAGTGATCCTGTTGACTCCAAACAAAATGCTTTGTGGTTTACAAAGCTGTTTCGCCTCTGTCGGGTCATTTTAGCCTCATAACAGCCTCTAAGAAACACTTTTACAGAAGAGAAAACTGAGGCAAAGCCGAGCAACTTGCTTCAAGTTATGTATACTTACTAGTGAAGCTGATCTGACTCTAATCCCATTTTCTTCTTTTCACTATTTGAGAGTTACATTTTTTTTGGCCCTATCAGTACAGGGAATATTAGTTAAGACATGTCATGGAATGGATTATACAAATCCCCCAAACCCCTTTGCTTACAGACTGGTTTATACTCATTCTTCATGCTTAGCTTGCTAATGTAGGAGTCACATGTTACTGTTGTCTTTATTCTCCTGGTTTAATCAGGAAAATGAGCCAGAAGAGCTGAAATGATTAGCTTTGGATCATTAGAAGAGGAAAGAATTTATATTCACAGTGACTGTATTTCTAGTCCATTGATTAGGTAATTTTGCTTTTATGAATCAATTGTCATGATTGCTATGCTGAATAAAATGTGGAATTGCTATCACAAAGAAAA